GTGACAATTATCTGAAACAAGATCCGAAATTGTCCTTTAAAAAAAAGTTTTAAAATCCAAAACTCACTCATAGTTGTGCGGGGCTGTGCTCTGGTGTTTCGAGGTATATGCACGCATAGTTTCATCAAGTGTATTTGTGGGCTGAGCAAGAAGAAATTTACCAGTGGTGGGACAAAACTGCCAGTTGCGCTATCTCCTTGTGCAGCCTCAACAGGGCCCTTATTCAACTGGATCAAGCAAGAGTAATGTTGTGGTGGAGTTTCTACTATGTTGTGGTGGAGCGGAAGTAGTGGGACGCCTAATTAATACTGAAGCCGGAACTAAGCACACCTCTTGGGAGCAAGACCAGCTCTGCTCATATCCAAAAGTAGTGTGCCTGTAGCATAAGTTTACCGTTTCCTTCCAACCACCATTGTGATTTAAACATGAGTTTCTGAAATAAAAGATACGCTTATAAGGTGTGCTTTCATCCATATCCCACTGGAGTGCCAAGTTTGCGCTGCTAATAATCACCTCAAAGGCACTTTTGGTGGCCAAGCCCTGAGCCCACTTTACCTAACTACATACCTAGGTTCAGCTCCCTGTGCAGACTGAGCTGTGACAGAATGTTAATCCACACTGGCAGAAAGAAAGAGCCTCACCTGATTTCTCAACTGAAATGTTGGCTACCATTCCATAATCAATTCAGATATTGTGCTCCAGACATGTCAAGGCAGAGTCTTGTGACATTTTCAAATGTATTTGATTAAATCCTTAATCAAAATGGTCATAAATTAACAGATTGTTGGAAGATTGCAGCTATCCTGGCTGCCATGAATGTTCAAAATTGAGATGTTGAATTCGGGTAGTACGTTATAGGACACGTGTGTTATAAAGCATACTATACGTATATATATATAATTACATCCACAAAAAAATAAACGTTACCTTGATTTATCCATTATAAACCCAACCCAAGGTTTCTCAAACTCGATTCCTCACTCGCCAACACGATCCGCGTGTCCATGTTAACAACTTTCACTTCGAATACAAATTAATTCACTGCATATTGCATTCGCCCAATCATGTGTAAAACACGCACTAAAGCGAGTGAGAAATAGATTTGTAGAATGATACCATAGTCCCTTTATAGATCCTGGAGAAACAGAGGCCAGCCTGCAAGGGCTGAGCCACCCGATATTCGCGTGCCTTCATTCTTCAATCCGCTCATAGCCATCAGTCTAAAACACACAGACAAAAACAAATGGTGAGAATGCTTCTGAAAGCGTGGTCAGTCACTTGTTTTGCTGATCATCATCATAATCATAAAAGTTTCCGTTAAACCCACTGTGAAAATGAGTCTAATTTAAGGGAATCCTGGGGATGTACAAAGGGTTGGCTATGACCAAATCACCTGGCATGCATCTGGTCTTGCCACTTTCCAGAAGCTAAGCGAAGCTGAGCCTGGATAGTGTCTGGATAGTGCTTGGATGGGTAAACGCCACGCATGCCAGGTTGTCTAGGTGGAGTTATGCCACTTGGTGGTCATCAGGGGGTAGTACAGCATAACAATTTGAACTGTACTTCTATACGGTACTCTCACGTATGAGCTCCCCACCTTTGACCACGCGCTGACAAGCGCGTGGTCAAGTTTGGAGAGGTAGCAAGCACGCACGTGAATTTGTGTGGAATGTATCACCATGCCCTCTCAGCGTATCCCGCACAATCCATACCCCCAATGACGTGATGGTGGAAACTGATTTTCCACAGTAATGGCTTTGCTCTCACCCTTTCTCACTTGGGCCCATTCCGCATTGGTAGTGAGATAATTCAGATAATGTTTTTTTTCAGCATCAATTGCAAAATGTGGAATGGGGCCAATCGTCTAAAAACACAGCCGGCCATTCACCAAACAGTAGAGGAATGACAAAGTCTAGCCCTGCAGCTGTAAGAATCGTGAGCACAGAGCGAACATTAATATTGCTGATCATCATATCTAAATCTTTCAGGGCCTGCAGGTAAGAGGAATAATAACAGATCATGGGGAATGGAAGTCATGGACAATGCCATGTTATGCAAAATGAGGTCCATTCTACTGTGGTTCTTAATACTGAATGAGATGTAACCATGAATTTGATAGTGTGACAAAGTGCTAATCTCACAGTGAAAGAGTCTACGGATGACCCAGCTTATCTCTCCAGGGTTAATAAATGGAGCATCGCTATGTGGTAAGTCAATAATTGTCATACAATTATTGGGACTGGCTCTACCCACTAATGTATGTGCAACACCCAAGGTAAGTTGCATCTCGTGGGTTAATTTAAAGCAAACTTTCGATTAATCAATATCGAAGAATGGCTGGTGAATACCCGCACATCTTCATACAGCTGCTCCCGATATATTCTTGACTTCCGGCAGCAGAATAGCACGATTAAATCACAAATTACCCAGACCTACGGACAATGGGTGAGAAAACGTAACGTTACAGCGTGCAGGCGACAAAGTGACCAGTCAAATTGTACTTGTAGTGCAGTGGTTCTCAGAGCGTGGTCCCCAGGACCACCAGTGGTTTGCGACGGTCCTCCAGGTGGTCCCGCGGGGCTGTGATGCAAACGTAGCTTGATCCGGAAATATTAACGTTTATACCTTTTGTTTCAGTCGATAATTAATATTTTACTTTTGATATTGTATTTAAAATGACGTTCGGTAAACTACCCTTATTAAACAACTCTAACCCTAAGATCTAAAAGCTCTGATTAAACAATAAACCTTACCGCTGCGTACTCTTTGGTTCTTTCGGTAATGTCACGTAGGTAGAAAAATAAAAATAAATAAAAATAATATATCACGACGTTTCGATTGCAACACAAGCGGTCGTCCTCAGGTGGGGGGGGGGGGGGGCATTGCACCTCGCTGCACACATCCACATTGCTGACGGTAGAGGTTGACAAGAAAACACAAATCAAGTCATGACCCAAAATGGTTGATAACAAATTTTCCAATGATTGCTGAGTTTATAACCGTCGTCTCGGTTGCAATTGTGTCGTCTGTATATGTGGATGGCTTCGTGAACGAATCTTTGTTGATAGCCAGTCGGCTTGCAAAGTACCATCGTCTTAGAGAAATCAATTTCATGTGAGCTAGCCACATTAAAGTAAAGATGAGCCACGGCACAAGTATTGGTCCTGCCGTGTTTCAGATGTGCCTTTTGTTCATGAACACGGTCCGAGACATGTCGTTTAGTTTCCCCAATGTAACTGCTGCCGCAGACACAGCTTAGTTTGTAGACGCCGGGATATTGCACGTCAGAAATCTTGCCCTTCACAGATGGGATCAGATCACGAATTTTATGTACTGTGTTAAACCGCACCTGGATCTTGTGTTTGTTCAAGATTTTGGAAATCTTTTTGGTTATCCCTGCTATGTAAGGCAAGGTGATGGTTTTGATTGGATCTTCAGATGGCTCCTTCCTAACGGTTGGGGTGATGGCTTTGTGGATTGTGTAGTCAGAATATCCATTCGCCTTGAGAGCCTAGTGTATGTGTTTTAGTTCAATGATCAGGTGTTCATGGTCGGAGATACATTTAGCTCTATGGTGTAGCGTTTTGATGAGGGAATTCTTCTAGGATGGATGGTGGTGGGAATCAGGTTTTAGGTGGGCGTCAGTATGGGTTACTTTCCTGTAGACAGAATGGCTCAATGAGCCATCTGGTCTCTTTTTGATTAAGACATCCAATAAATCTTGATTTGAAGCTTTCGTGACTGCGGGAATCCATACTCTTTGGTTCTTTCGGTACAGTCACGTAGGTAGAAAAATAATAGATTACGACGTTTTGATCGCCACACAAGCAATCGTCTTCAGGTGGGAGAGAGAAACAGGCTGCTGAAACAAGTCCTTAAATATATAGAGAGCCGAGAGGGGGGAGAGGGGGGGGGGGGTTGCCGCGTCGGGCAAGAGGGTGGGGGCTCGAGATTGCGACTAAGCGAGAGGGAAATCCAAAGATGGGAACCGAGATGGGGGGGGGAAGGGGGGGTTGTGGTTGATGCGAGAGCTGCGAGAGCCGAGGAGGTGGCCATTTTTACTGAGAGAGATTAGCATGTCAATGTAAACGAACCAACGCAGTGGTGGCTGTGCTAGTGAGACATCCAGCTCGCTAAAAGCGAGCTGTTTCCTCCTCCCAGCTCTCTTCCCCCGCCCACTCACTTTGGAAACCCTTTTCAGCCGTTGCATTTGTAGGCTTGCCCCCTCTTTTCTCTCCACCTGATGAAGACCGCTTGTGATGCGATCGAAACGTCGTGGGTGTTTTTCTCTTATTATTTTATTTTTGAAATTCTATCTTCGTGACTTTACCGAAAAAAAACAAGAATATGAATTCCTGCAGTCATTAAAGTTTTAACTCCAAGGAGCTTCTTTACAGATGCACAGCGGTGCAGTGATTCACACAGCTTTGACAAAATCGGACACAACTGGGGATAACAGCAAACATTATCATCATGAATAATCATCTTCACTATCGTTACACGTTCTTTCCCTCTGTATGTCTTCACTCTTGTGACTTTCCTCTCTTTTATACTCCTGCATCCGGCTAAAATATATCAATACAGTTATTGTGACTTGCATTAGTGTTGACTGAAATACTCACCATCCCAAGCAAGCCTACCCCCGATCCCAAGCTGATGAGTGATCGTAATAGGCTTGCCTTGCCAGCCTTCATTAACCAGGGACAGAGAGCGCACAAGTCAAGATTTCATTCAGTCATCTGATGGTCCTTCATTCCATGCTACCTATCAAATAACAGATGTAAAAATCATGAAAACGAATAAGCGTATATATTAAATATTTACCAGTTAAGGCTCACTGAGCTATATAGCTCTTTTTCAGAAGCAACCTGGCCACAAATGATAGCGCAACGAAGTGGGCTTGTCATATGGAAATTTATAGCAGCCAAATACTCTAAATACATTTTCTAAATGTGGAGGGAAAACTGGAGGATGAGGATAAAAATCTGCGACCACGGGGAGAACATGCAAACTCCAAATACATAGGTGTCAGGATTGAATCCACGACCTCCTGTGTACCAGGTGAGGTTGTTAACACCTTGCCATCGTGACAATAAGCATTTGAGAAACCCTTGTTCTTTATCATCTTTGGCCATGTCGCATACTTGGAAGAATGCACCTCTGGTAATAAAAGTCGACCTTTCGTATGGCAGGGGAGGTTGGGAGCAACAGTTTGCATCGATGCCCTAGTTGAATGTTAAGGTCGTTTAACCGATCCAAGGCAGAAGTAGATGCTGTATGGATTGCAACAATACCACCAGGGAGTGCATGGATGACGCACTTGTCAGTGATGTGTTCGATTGCTTGGGTTTTACCACAGTCGCAGTTTGGCGGTTCTTTTATTTTCCATTAATGGAACATGTATGTCATCTGCTGTGCTGCGTCAGAGCGTGGTTCAGTCTGGTCCACAGCCCTCGTGAGAGAGACTCCTGGTACTTCCATGGTCGGGTTCTCAACTCTATTTTTGTTTGCCACGTCTGTGGCCGCCCCCCATTCAGACCATCGAGTACCGGTGTCTTTATATTTGGCTGCCAGATCAGAGGCACGTATTCAGAAAGGCTTACTGGAATTCACCTAGGGCGTGGGGGTTCCTTTATGTATTGGTGGAGCGAAGTTTTCCACTATCTTCTTGTACTTCCGGATCGTCATGGCATCATGTTGGATTTTGGCTGGAGCGATGTTCGCCAGCACAGGAAGCCACGGGAGTGGAGTTGGACTTCTGGGTGCCACTGATGATACGAAGTGTAATGTTGATTTTTGACGTCGACGAGGTTTTCGTGAGGCTGACACTCCACACTGGAGTATCGTACTCCTCTGTAGAGTGCACCAACTTACGGCTGTCGCTTCCCCACGTTCCCGCGAGTTTCAGGATAATTTCCCCTCATGCTCGGGTAACTTCTAGGTACAGTGGGTGGTAGTTGTGTAAAAGTGATGTTCCATAGAAATTGACAATTAATGTTTTCGTGGGTTTCCTGTTTCTCAGGTGTAAGACAGAATTTATGCGTTTGGGAGTGTTTGGCTTTAGGCGCCAATTCTTGAAGTATACTTCAAAAGTCTTCATCTTTTTCGAGAACTTTTGCAGTCTCTTCTATTGTCCGGGGTCGGGTTGCCAGTGCGATGTTTTCCACATACGTTCACTTATGGGAGGATGTCGCCGAAATGTCGATGGTATAGAGATTGAACGGCACTGGGGCTAGAACAGATCCCTGCGGGAGTCCATTATTAAATCTTTGTGGACTGCTGGCAGCCCCACCAAGATGGACGGTGAACCATCGGTCACTCAGAATTTTGGTGATGAGTCTGATAGTCAGGCAGCAAGACACGGCTGTTACATGCTTCAGCAGGAGAACCTTCCACCATGTAGTATCATATGCTGAGGAGAGTTCAATTAATCCTGGTCGTGTTGTGAACTGGCGTTCAAAACCGGCTTCGATGTATCTTGCTAAAGCTAGGACCTGGCCACAGTAATTTTAGCCAGTTTGAAACCCAGCTTGTTCCTTAGGAACGATCTTGTCAAGCGAAGGCTTCAGCCTTTGGAGCAGGAGCTGCTCCATTAGCTTGCAGCAGATGCTGAGGAGAGAGATAGAGTGGTAGCTTTTGGCCTGCAATCCGTCCTTGCTGGGTTTAAGAATGACTGCTCTTAGCCACTTTCCACCCCTTTGTTACCACACCTGAGGAGTGGATATCAGTAAGGAAGGTGGCAAGCCACTTTCTTGCACGTGGTTACAAGTTTTTGATGAATTCTGGGTAAATATAATCGAGGCCTGTGGCTTCACTGGTTTTCATCTGGGCAATACCAGCATCTTTCTCAATTGGGAAAGGACTGGAGAAAGTAGAGGTTTGTTGGCAGAGGTCAAGAGTGCGATAGAGTTATTTGTAAACTCGCCGTATTATGTTTTAATTGATCGGTGCTTGTGAGTTGCTGATTAACTGTCCGGCAATGTCAGGGCTGACTAGTGGAGATTTGTAGGTTGGCATGGCTGCTGCTTCCAGCATCTTTAAGAGGCTCCAGGCTTTACGGCTCAATTTTAAAGTCAAGTGTGTCAACTGTTTCACACCAACTTTGTCTTATTACGAAGTTCGGCAATCCAAGCAAGGCTTTTGCAGTTTACTGCTTCTGATTGGCACTGAATTGCCAAAAGAGTTGTTCACTTTCTTGAGACCAACAAGACCTAAATACTTTTCTGAAACCTTGGCCTTGATGAGGACAGTGAAGCCGCTCTTAGTTTGGCTGGCGTAGAGGGATCATTCCAAAAGATTTCTCCATGGCCGTGGTGTAACTCAGCCATACAGCCATTCTCAGGTTCCAGCATGGTTTTGGTGCAGAGTGGATCATTGAGATTTTACGGCAGATATGGATCAATACAGACCGAATTTGAAGTCGTCAGTGATGATCTCTGTTGACGGCAAAGGTACCATTATGATTCCGAGATACAAAGCATCGATCAGGCGTGTAGCATTCTTTTCAGCGTGCTGACTTGAATGTGCCCCGATCTTTTGCATCCGAGAGCAGGTGCTGATCTTCTACTGCTGCTCATGATGTCAGCTGCTCACCTGCTTTATCATTGGCGCTGTAGCCCCACAAGGCGCGATGGCTATTGAAGTTGCCAACATGAATGGTTCGGAGTGACTTTAGCGGTGGTAGCGACGGACACGAATATTCAACACCTGGAGACGTGTAGACTGACCACAGTTATGCCAGTGATCTTGATGGCAATGTAGTGGGGCGAGTTGGTGGGTATGACCTGGGTCAGATCCTTCAAGACCATGTTTCAGATGGTGGCTTGCAGAAATGACGGTGTATTCACTTATCTTCGAGCGGGGGCACTCTCTGGAAGAAACCCAGACGGGTTTCTTCCAGCACGAGGACGTTGGTGTCTTGAATCCTGAGAATCTTCGCGATATAATCGCATTTCGCACTTAAGAGGCCCTCAATGCTCAGCTGCATGATTCTCAGCGACGGGCTGACATTCACACTACTTTGGCCCTGTGAAGGACCTTTTGTGGGGTATTCTGCCACCAATTTGATGACATTCGTTTTGCTTTCTGCACACAGCATGAAATACCGCGAGCTGGTTGTCATCTTCTCTCCCAAGCTCAACATTGAGATCATGTCAGGCAGATGTCCCTCACTGACCTGTTAAGAGATCTCATGCACACATTTGCCTATCATGGATCCATAAAATTTCCAATGACTCCATGCCTGTTACATCTCATATGATACGATAGGATGGCAAAATGAGCAATGCTCAAATTCCTTTATTTTCTCTCCCAGTCATATTATAATTTCAGATGCTGCTATGTTGTCATTGTTAGCACACTGGACTTGCAATCTAGAGGTCACCAATGGGTGTATTCCTGGTAGGACTGAGAAGCAAGTGCTGCCATGCCCCCCTGCTAGGTCGCAAGTGACACATGGACATCGATGGGGCAGTGTAAAATAGCCTATAGGTTCAACAGCCTCAGCCCCAGGGGTTCCCATTTGTTGTTTACCACTCACCTGTCCAATCACTTCCACCATAAAGCGAATGCCATATGCCTTCACCAACGTCCTGGTCTCTATTCCTTTTGCGTCTTTGTAGTACTTAGGAAACCTATACAGAGTCGATGTACAGTATTTTATTTTAATTGAATGTACAACAATTGATTCACATCAACATTTTCCAACTTGCAACCTGCATGGTAGATGAAAAATGTGTGGGAGACAAGAAGTGACTAAGATGTGTATCGGAGATGTATGCATTAACGATGTATGAGAGATTAACAGGAGACGTGGAAATTAGACAGGAATGCCTATACATTAGACATCTGAGATTAGGAACAGGGGATATATCAAGGAGCTGGAGGTGAGAGCTAGAGGGTGTAAGGATGGCAGCACCTGAAGTTGTAACCAGGTGAAATAGTTTTTTTCCGATTCTCTTTGTCAAGACGTCGGAATTTGTAATTTGGTTTGCAGGCTTGCTCATTCAAATCCAAGTTGCAGTTCCACTCGATCATGATGCTAAATACTCCACCCTGTCTCTCACACGACACACGGCACATGACCTTAGTATATCAGTATGATGAAATTGATGTAACAGATGTAAATCAATTAATAAAGAAGAATTAGCTTTACCCTTTCCGGCAATAATACAGGAGGTATTAAGATGGTCAACCACCAAATAGACACCTATTGCAAGGCATAAAGTCTACATTAATCACACATACTTCTGGTAAAATATAAAAACAAACATCCTTTCATAATGTATGCATTTTTTTCCTAATTAGCCTACACCAGATACTGCCTGCTTCATGGCCTTGTCTCACCACCAGTGTTAGACCAAAGAATGCCAAAGGCGAGCAGCACAAAGGCAATGCAAATATCAAAACATTAATAACTCGATAAAGTCACGTAGAAGGGAAACAATAAAATAAAATGAAAATATAAAACAATAAAATTCTCACGACGTTTCGTTTGCAACACAAGCAATCATCATCAGGTTGTGGTTTTATTATTTTATTGTTTCCCTTCTACGTGAGTTTACCGAAAGAACCAAGAATATGAATCCCTGCAGTCACAAAAGCTTTAAATCAAACATTAATAACTCGAGTTCAGTAGTTATATCTACGGGACCCATAGGTATATAGTTTTATGGTTTTGAAAGGAGTTCTTATTTAAATATCTCACCTCTGTTGTATATTACAGAGCGTAAATTTTTTTTGACTTTCCTTTTATGGAAAAATATACCAATTGTGCCAATGTCTCATATCAAACAAATCCACTTGGAGGATGAAGGCCATTGCATTTTACAATACATTATGACCCAAAATGTGATTAATGTGTGCAGTCTGACATGCAAATAAGGTGCGAAATTTTACTCTGACATGAAAGTAATCTGCTGATTAATTTAAGCCACCGGCATGTGGCCATGCTCACATTTGCGCTTCTGCAAGATATTAACATTTCACCTCAATAGCCAACTCTTTGAAGTCTTCCCCAGCTTCTGACACAATGTCCCCAAGTATGAAGATGGGGCACTCTGGGTCACTCTGTCGGTGGTAGCGGCACGACTTGAGGTAGCTTGCGTTGCTTCCCAGTATGTTATGCCTGCGTGTTGTAAACACAAACCGACTATGAGTCTGTGAGGTCCAAAGCCTGCATACTCTGTTATTATTGTACTATGACAATGTTTGTTTGTTTATTCAAGAAAGAGTCTCAAGATTTTTCTTGCAGGAAGGTTTGTGCACGACGAGGCGATGTTAAAGTTGATGATCGAAAATATCTGGCGTGCAGTTATCCAGCTGCCTCCAACATTATGCGGCAGTCCAGGGCCGATCTGGCAAAACCGCTCCAAAGGCTAGAACGAGTCGGCACCATGCGCGCGACAATAAAAGTATCCATGCTTGATTTCAGTGTCAAAATATTATATGCAGTACATGATGCACTACGTACAATAATGTAAACAATGAAAATACTGCACGTGTATACATTTTTCATGACAAAGAACTGCAGTATTTAAAACAGAAATTACACAATGCAGTTCGAGATTCGCCGGAGCACCGGCCGAAAGTCTGCATCAGCGATCGTCAAACACATCAAGTTGTTGAAACAAGAGCATAGTTTGTACATCACAACATGTAGAGACTTCGAGATTGGAGTGGTAAGTATGGTACAGTAAAATGTTACAGTAGGATATTTATTTTTTTCTTTGTTTATTTACGCCAATTTCATACAGGAAACGAATTAAAAACACTAAAAAAACACATACACAACACCTAAAACATGTTGTACAAGAATGTGCAAAAATAAGCTATTTAAAATAATGATTAGTGATTATCTGGCATTTTTTAGAATCCGGCGCCCCCTTGTGAATATGCAGAAGTGGGAGAGTTCTGCCAGCTTCCAATTCCTTGGTTAACTGGATGGAGGGGTCTTGCGAGCTGAGACGATTAAGAAATTCGTTAAGTGTATTTTTGCCGTGTGGCCAGACCACCAATGAGTCATCCAACTATCTAAACCAAGCAGAGGGCTTGTGTGCTTTAAGCAGCTGCTTTTGTTTCAAAATCTTCCATGTACAAATTCGTTATCACAGGAGACAAAGGACAGCCCATTTCTGCTCCTTCCTAATCTCCCCCCTGTTCGCTCAAGGGCTCACAAGTGACGTCATGACATCTACCCCTCTATTTAAGGAACGAAACAGGAGTACTTCTCCACAAATCTGGCTGTCGCATGATTAAGCTAGTTATAATTACTGACAAAAAGTCGTACTCAGTTTGTGAATGTTGTGGCTTTGCTCTCCAACATGCCGGTGTGCTGTACTCGTCACGAATTGGCATGTTCTGTTTACGTGACAAACCTTACAAGTTGTCTGTCGGGTGGTGGCGGGATTAACGACACATTTATATATTTACGCGATCTAACCCAAAAAAACCTGTATGATGGATGATATTGGTCGCGAAAGCCTAAGTGTTGAACAGTAATATTTCATTTTGAAAAGGAACCCATCAATCATGTCAACGCATCACATTGATTTAAAAGGAGAGTCTGCGTATACAGTACATGTAAGTACAAGGCTCATCCTGGGCAAGCACTTACTTGAAGAAGTTGAACTTGTTAAACTGAATGTTGTTTTTTATCAGAACAGTGAAATTCTCCACAGCAATCATCTTTGCAGGTCTGTTTGACACAAAACACAAATGCGTCTGAGATGGGTGGAAAACGGGATAAATGCAGTCATGATGGAAAATATCACCGAACAACGCCTCTGCAATTGGGAAACGCCGGGCCGGAGGCGAGAGAATATTGTAAAAGTTGCTCTACACGTTAGAATATCTCATCATAAATTAACAACGGCATATATGAATGTAATGGTGGAGATGCGGTGAATGAAATAGATGAGAGCAAGCGATGGGGACAAATCTGTGATGCGTCAATTTGGTGAAAAGCGACATTGATGACAGTAAATGATGATGAATGGACTGAATGAATGGGCAATGAGTGATGGCCATATACAGTAATGAGAATATGAAGAGGGAACAGTAACAGTGGCAGATATGAGGGGGAGATTAAGGAGTCCTGGGGTGAGCTTGAGAACAATCAGTGAGTTTTGAGTGTGGAGCGTAAACTGGTGAGCGAAGGTGACCGTTTAATGTGGAGTGGGAAGATTGTTCCAGTGAAGGGGGGGCGAGAAGAGAGAAAAAGAGTGACAGTGTGGATTGAGCCCAAGGAGGAGGAGGAACAGAGAGAGAGAGAGACAGCCAAGACTTTGAACGTAGAAAGCGAGAAGGCACGTAGAAAGATACAAAGCCTGGCAAGATATGGTGGTGCAAGACCATGAAGAGATTTGTAGACCATGGTCAGATGATGCTTATATGTGATGTATCAGCCATGCCAGTGGGAAGGACTCGTATGACCAACAAAAGGACCCTTGACCACCACTGATTTAATAAGCGGTGTGTATTCATTCGGTATACCCTGCAAAGACTGCGAATCAGAATCGGAAGTGTATTCCCCACTGAGTATAAAGCCCATTGAACTAAGAAGCTCTTCTTCAAAGGCGACTCGGCCGGCAGACAAAATCAGAGCATTCCACGATGATAGATGGGGGGTTTTTTTTTCAAAAAAAGAAACAAGATACGCAGGAGAAACACGACGCAGATTATAGGACTGATAATTATACGAAACGTGGTTACTCAACCCACACATAACAAACATTAACTCTTGCCATTCCTGCACATCAGGTTATACAGAACCGCTCTGTAGATGTTGAAAGGGTACAAATTTCTACGCAGAACCTCCAAGTTAAAATGGACGGCGTGCCGCTGAAGAGACTGTGTTTTTATAGCTCCTGATGTTTGTCGTAATTAAATGGAGTGCTTTTTTCCATGGGACCCTTTTTGTCAGTATCAGGGTGATGGAAACTTCATCAATATGCTAAATTCCTCTGTTGATATGTAAACTCCTTTGTCAAGGCGCTCTCCTCCTCCCTCCCAGTTTAAAATACGCTGCCAAGCTTAGCAGTGTTCATTAGGACGCTGTCTTTCCGACAGCTCTGTTCTTCACCTGAGGACGGCTGTTTGCGTTGTGGTCGAAACGTCGTGAGAATTTTATTTTATTATGTTTTATTTTTATTATTTTATTCTTTCCCTTTTACGTGACTTTACCGAAAGAACCAAGAATATGATTTTACCAGTTAAGGCTCACTGAGCTATATAGCTCTTTTTCAGAAGTGAACTGGTCACAAATGATAGCTCAACGAAGAGGCTTATGTGGAAATTTTTAACAGCCAAATACTCTCAACATGTGTTTCTAAAAGTGTAGGAAAAAAACGGGAGAACTTGGAGAAAAATCCACACGACCATGGGGAGAATATGAAAACTCCAAATATGCAGGTGAGGGAGTTAACATCTCACCACCGCAAAATTAACAGACAACTGTACTGTACATAATAAAGGTATTTGGGTTAGATCGCGTTATTCATAAATGTGTCGTAACCCTCCACCACCCGACATGGCCAAACAGTAAAAAATGTGTCACGTTTACAAAGGACAAATAGTTCACTACTTTAGCCCACCGGTGTGTTGAAGAGTGAATCAACATCATTTAAAATTTGAGTACGACGTTTCGCTGGTAATTACATCCAGCATCATCGGGCAATTCGCCAGAATGGTAAAGCCCTTGCTTGCTCCCGGTCTTAAATAGAGCAGCAGGGTGACGTCATCATTTAACTCATTTCAGGTGCAGTGATTTGAGGCGGAGGTTGGGGGGGTATTGTACCTAAAGGGTCCAGTACACAAAATATAATTCATTCTCCTTTTAAGGCCATAGTGTTATTGACGAATGTGTTATTTTTTTATTCGTACAGTAATTATAGATAATAACAGTCCTTCTACAAATACGATACTGCCTTTAATTCGAACTTTTGACACTTCATAAGTACATTTATGAACGCGCTATTTTTATCGCTCAGGTTTACCACTATTGTAAAAACGATGAAGTCAACAACTTACTTGGGTGGATTGGAGTCTTTTGGCAAAGGGCACCATGCATTCACCTCACAGGACTTGGTTGTGTTGTTAATTGGAACACAGAGGCCTGTGAAGACACCTGAAAGGATGGGAAGATTGGTAAGTCGGTGACTGAAAACGAGCAAATACAGTATTCATAATTGCGTTATATTAATAGCTGACATCTTGGGCAGCTCTTCAAATGTCCATTTTGCAAAATTGAAAAACTTCAAGCCTTCAATGGAATTCAATTCAAGTACACATTCAAGTACGCAGATGCCAGAAATCAACGATAACGTCAACTGTGGTCTATCTACTGCTGGATGAAGACCTGCACCTCGTCTTCGCCATACCTTCATGGCACTGCAATGGCCCCAATCCATCTCGTTCCTGCACATAAGCTCGTCAACCCCTACGTTGGTCGTTCTCTTGGACTTTGCTCACTCCTCTTGGCGTCCATTTCCATCACCTTTCCTGTCCATCGGCCATCAACCCTTCTTGTGAAATCCTGCTCAAGCCCACTCTCGTTAACAGTCAATGTGATGTTTGTAGTTTGGTATGCTGGGAATAAACCGTATATACTGACAAGCACTCATAAACGCTCATCACTTCTCACCGATATGGCAAAACGAATAACATGTGTTATGAAACGCAAGTACTCTACAGTATTATTGACGATATGCATATAGTGGAAGTCACTGCAAACGGTGTCCTGGTGTTTTTTTTTATTTACATATTTTTGGTAACGTGGGGGAAGGCCCATTGAGCTAGCAAGCTCTTTTTCAAGGTCCTCCAATGAGCAGGGTTGGCTACGTATGGTGTTAAAAAAGTTCAACATACATTATTACAAGCGGCGTTAAAGCGAAGACATGTACAAAATCAAAATCGTGTAAACGCATTCGGCAGCAACAGTTGAAGTGAGCGAGTCATCACGATGCATTGAAGTGAAAACAATTATGGTGTCCTACATGATATGCTCGTGAACATGGACTCAATTGTATTATACATTCAGTAGTCTTTGAATCGAGATGTTCAATGCAGTTTTGCAAATATCGCTCACAGGAGGGGCTGGAGTGTAGAGCACGCTTGAGGTAAAGTCTGCTAATTCTGATAATCATGAAACGATCAAAGCTGTTGGGGTTGGTGAATGTATAAGTTGTATTCGTAGCAACCATCAGTGTTTGACAACCTTCCAAGTCGCAAATTAGGAATCGCATTCACATCTGTGGTCGTGGTGGACCGAGAGCAAGGACTTCAGATTTGTGAGTGATGGTCTGGTATCAACATTGATCGAGGTGACCAGATCGTTTTGACAGTTTTTCAAATTCATGTCGGTATTTTGACCCATCATTCCACCAAAAATCAGGCCGATAAATGGCGATTCAGGCGTGATAGATTGTGATAAAAAAGTGCCCATTTTTTACACGCTTTCTATTAACTCACTCTGTTGTATCCTCAAATCTTGTAACTCAATTTTAACCCACTTCCCAATGTGGCATCGACTGCAAACTTGGTATACGTATGTCATACTGATGATAATACTATATTCTATCATGAAAAATACAAATACATATTTTTTAAACAATTTTTTTAAATATTTTATGTTTCGGCTTGGGTCTAATTGTCCACGCTCAGCTGACGTTGGCTGTAAATCACCATGGTCCCTTACGTTATGGCAAGCTTTGGGGCCACTTCCTGGAGTTGTGGAGTTCTTCCACTACTAGTAGGGTACATTTCTTTAAAGCGTGTTTTAAAAAAAAGTTTTTTAAAAATATTACTTATGTAATTGTGGAACACGCAAAGGTGGCTGAGTTTTGATTTAAAGCTTTCTTGGTTCTTTCGGTAAAGTCACATTGTTTTTCCCTTCTACATGACTTTACCGAAAGAACCAAGAATATAAGGTGCAGGAACATCCGGGTTCAGTCCATGTTGGACGTCCCTGTGGAAGAGATATGTGGATAACACTTTCGTCATTTGGCAGCATTGAACCAATTTCTAGACCACATCAACTCCATACACCCATCCATCAAATTCACCATGGAAGTGGAAAAGGATGGTAAGCTACCATTCTTGGATGTTCTGTTTGAGAGGAGGCCCAATGGCTCTTTGGGACATTCTGTTTACAAGAAGGCCACCCACACAGATTCCTACCTGAAGCCTGATTCCCACCATAATCCGGCACAAAATAATTCCCTCATCAAAACACTATACCATAGGGACCACTGCATCTCTGACCAACACCACCTGGCCAGTGAATTAGAACATGTACATCTGGCCCTCAAGATGAACGGATACTCGGACCGTGCTATCCGCCAAGCTGTTTCCCCTACCGTGCAGAAACAACCCCCTGAGACTCTGATCAAAATCATTACGTTGCCATACATAGCAGGCGTTACCAAAAAGATTTCCAAAATTCTAAACAAACACAAGATCCAGGTCCGATTCAGTACAGTACACAAAATCCGTGATCTGATCCCATCCGTAAAGGATGTCATTCCTGACTTACAGTACCCTGGTGTCTACAAACTGAGTTGCACCTGTGGTAATTATTATATTGGGGAAACGAAACGACACATTTCTGACCGCATTCGCGAGCACAAGTCAGATTTGAAACAGATACACAAACATAGACATAACTTCAACCGAGAGGATGGATGCAGATTGAGCAATCATTGGAAGGATGTAATTAACCAAGTTAAACTTCCCAGTTTCTTACTCCCAGCTTTACACACTGCCATCACTACGAAATTTGACTCCAAGCCCGGCTTATTCCCATTACTTGGAAATTTGCCGCACGTTGCTTCGAACGTGCAAACTTTAGCTTTCACAGCTCTAATTTACCCCCCCCCCCCCCCACAGTAAAACGAAGGATGTCTTTAATCGGCTTAGCTTGGCGTTCTTATTTACTTTGCATCACAAAGCGTTAGTGAACTCCAGCTGCTATCCTCCCAGCCCACACCCCGCCCCCACACTCACCATGGCCCCTCCCCCCTCCTCCCCCCCCCCCGCAACTATACAATCCCTCGTCACAGCCATCTCTGAGACACACACTTAAGCTGTTGTGCTTTCTCTGCGTTGTCCCCACCTGAAGAAGGACGCTCGTGTTGCGCCCGAAACGTCGTGATTTAATTTAGTTTTGTTTCTTTTCAATTTATTTTATTTTATCGTTTACCTACGTGACTTTACCTAAAAAAAAACAAAGAGTATGACTTTTCTAAATTAATCATTTATCACCAGGGGTGACACCAGAGACATTTCCATATTCCTTTGATGTTTGCACAGATACCAGGTGTTAAACACAGCATATGGCTCAACATATAAACCTCTTTCTGTTAGACGCAGGCAGAGGAAAAGGCATCGACCACACATACTTGTGGCAAAGCATGCAAACAAGCATGCTCTGATATTGTATGCCTTGTCTGTGAAACTGATTGGACTCCACCAGAGACAGACTTTTGTATGGACTTGTCTCACCAGTGGTGTTAGACCAGCGAACGGCAAAAGGCGAACAGGACAACGCAAGTCCTGTATCAGAACACCAATAGCTCGGGTCGAGCAGTTATATCTATGGGACCTTTTTATGATTATCCAAAATGGTTAAAAATAATATTTGACCCTTTCTGGCAATAAAACAGGTGTGAAGATATTATCAGAGCATTGTGTTTGCATGCTTTTGCACATGTAGTGAATGCAGGCTTGACGCCTTGCAAAAAGGTGTGAACATCTTAACACCTGCTTTATTGCCAGAAGGGTGAAACCTAAACTTATTTTTCATCATTTTGGATACTGGCAAAAAAAACATCCCATCGATAAGACATGAAGATATTATCATGTTGTACTTTTGAGATAATGGAGCTCTGGCAGCGTTAAAGGGAATTCCCACAAACCCACAGCACAATGTACTGTACCTTCTCCCTCTGGGTCCGTGACGCCAGCCCTGCAGTCGGTATCCGAGCTACATGGAGCTACGTCGGGATTCTAAATGTGGGGGGGGGGTGGGACGACACAGCAGGATAAAGAGAGAAGCCACTGCACTGCTGCGTCAACAGAAACAAACGTGAAGTAGGAGACGTCAATTGTCTTAGGTCACGTACAACCAAGAGGAGGGTCAAGTTTATTTTGTTCAACCAGGTGAGAACTCAAGACACTAATGTGGTCTCATTTGCCATTGACCTGCGGCATCAGGCTGCCGGTACGTGGTGAGGATTACTATGTACAGTCTTATTTATCCTCATCATCATCGCCGTCCTCATGTGTATGTGGAGGCTCCATTGTGCTTTCTAAAGAGGTTTTGAGTACCAAAGTCCTCGATACGTTTTCAGGATGGTCCTGCGGAAATGTCACAGAAGGGTCGATCAATGATATGCATAGTCCAATGCAGTCATTTGCAGGTAATAGTTTATTTTTTACTAATGCGAATTTATATTTATAGAGCGCCTTCAACTCAATGACCTACTTTGCCGAATGACATGACTGGATCTTTGATATTCTTGGTTCTTTTGGTAAAGTCACGTAGAAGGGAAACAATAAAATAAAAATATATAAAACAATTAAATTGTTTTAAAATTATAAAACAATTAAATTATAAAACAATTTATTTGTTTTATATTTTTATTATTTTATTGTTTTCCTTCTATGTGACTTTACCGAAAGATTCCAAGAATATGAATCCTGCACTGTGAATATGAATCCCTGCACTGTGAAGCAGACGGCACGTGGTGTTTTCATTGTTATTAAACCTGCAGGATTAATCAGGGCGGCCTCTGGATTAAAACCGCGAACCTCTGCAATAAGCGGTGAAGGTGTTGCCGCTGGGCCGTGCCACCACCCCAAATGAGAGGTGGCTGAGTGTCTCAGGGATCGGAGCACTCAGCTGACCTCTCTGATCCTTCACATCTAGGCAAGGCACCGATAATATAACAAAACTGGGCTCTCAAGGTGAGGTGTTTTCTGGTTGCCAAATGAATACATTCTACGGTCGCACTCATTGCACACAGTGCTCTCCACGAATGAACCACAACACCTTGCTGATCTCGTCAAGGAGCTTAATCCATCATCCAAACTCCAGTCATCTTGGCAGCGGCTGTTGGCTAACCATTGAACGAAGACGGCCACCGCATCGTGCACTTTCAGATGCGCTTCTGCGGCCGTCTGGAACGCTCTTCCTTCCGATATTAGGAAGCCACTGGAGCTATGCACTTTTAAATCTAGATTGAAAACTACTTTTTGTGTTAAGTTTATCCTTCCCCCGCACCTCCAATTAGCACGGTTGTCTACGTACGGCGCGAAATAGGTTAAAAATACATACATTCAATTACGTTTGTGGTTTCAGCCTGCTCGCCAAAAAAAATGACGTGTTTTAATTTAATATGAAAACAATTGCAGCTCTGAAAATTATATCTCAATTTCATTGCCATGCGAGAGTGCAGAAGACAAGTGTGCATAAGAGGTCACTTGAAGGGATCACATAAAGAAGCAAGGCAGCCAATGATTGTGCATGCCTGTAATCCAGCACTGCAGAGCCGAGGGTTGGCGAATCACACAAATGTCAGACTCATGGCCATTGAAGTTCATATCCTGGCCAGGAGTGAGGCAAACGTGGACTAACGTCTGCCCCTCGTGTGTGCGTGGGTTTTCTGACACATGTACAATAAACACAACAAAATCAATCGGCTAAACAGCATTTATGCGCCTCCGTGTTCGCAGATGGCGCAGCGCTGCGAAATTGAAGTTGCACAAATTACACTTAGGAAAAAAAGTTACGTCTGCGTTACACTGCAATTCAGCGCAACAAGATGATGTTGCATTCAAATGACAGTGAAGGGCAAGCTACTGGTCAAGTACGCTGTAAAGCACGTGTTCCTGTCAGTGTTTTGATGGAGTGTCTCACCTCTGCGCAGGCCCCCTGCTTCTGGTTTGGGGTCTCAATAAAATTTGTCATCACAAAAAACGAGTTGGGCTCCTGCAGGATGAAGGGATTAGGTAAGAGTGTGGATACAGGTAGTTTCGTAATTTGTTTGTGTGGAGGTAAGTGTTGTAGAACATGTATACATTATGCTTCATCTGCATCTTCTGTTTAATTTTATAAGCATACAGTGAAGGAAAAAAGTATTTGATCTCCTGCTGATTTTGTACGTTTGCCCACTGACAAAGAAGTGATCAGTCTATAATTTTAATGGTAGGTTTATTTGAACAGTGAGAGACAGAATAACAACAAAAAATCCAGAAAAACGCATGTCAAAAATGTTATAAATTTATTTGCATTTTCATTAGGGAAATAAGTATTTGATCCCTCTGCAAAACATGACTTAGTACTTGGTGGCAAAACCCTTGTTGGCAATCACAGAGGTCAGACGTTTCTTGTAGTTGGCCACCAGGTTTGCACACATCTCAGGAGGGATTTTGTCCCACTCCTCTTTGCAGATCTTCTCCAAGTCATTAAGGTTTCAAGGCTGACGTTTGGCAACTCGAACCTTCAGCTCCCTCCACAGATTTTCTATGGGATTAAGGTCTGGAGACTGGCTAGGCCACTCCAGGACCGTAATGCGCTTCTTCTTGAGCAACTCCTTTGTTGCCTTGGCCGTGTGTTTTGGGTCATTGTCATGCTGGAATACCCATCCACGACCCATTTTCAATGCCCTGGCTGAGGAAAGGAGGTTCTCACCCAATATTTGACGGTACATGGCCCCGTCCATCGTCCCTTTGATGCGGTGAAGTTGTCCTGTCCCCTTAGCAGAACAACACCCTCAAAGCATAAGGTTTCCACCTCCATGTTTGACGGTGGGGATGGTGTTCTTGGGGTCATAGGCAGCATTCCTCCTTCTCCAAACACGGCGAGTTGAGTTGATGCCAAAGAACTACATTTTGGTCCCATCTGACCACAACACTTTCACCCAGTTGTCCTCTGAATCATTCAGATGTTCATTGGCAAACTTCAGACGGGCATGTATATGTGCTTTCTTGAGCAAGGGGACCTTGCGGGCGCTGCAGGATTTCAGTCCTTCACGGCGTAGTGTGTTACCAATTGTTTTCTTGGTGACTATGGTCCCAGCTGCCATGAGATCATTGACAAGATCCTCCCGTGTAGTACTGGGCTGATTCCTTACCGTTCTCATGATCATTGCAACTCCACGAAGTGAGATCTTGCATGGAGCCCCAGGCCGAGGGAGATTGACAGTTCTTTTGTGTTTCTTCCATTTGCGAATAATCGCACCAACTGTTGTCACCTTCTCACCAAGCTGCTTGGCAATGGTCTTGTAGCCCATTCCAGCCTTGTGTAGGTCTACATTTTTGTCCCTGACATCCTTGGAGAGCTATTTGGTCTTGGCCATGGTGGAGAGTTTGGAATCTGATTGATTGCTTCTGTGGACAGGTGTCTTTTATACAGGTGTAGTGGAGTAAACGATACACATAGGAATTGGCCACATACAGTACATACAGACATACAAGGAGAGTGGGTCACATGAGGTCGAACAGGTGGTCGAGTCACGGGTGGCGTAAACAACCCGAAGTAATTAAAGGAGTCGTGGCACGAGGGCCGTGATTGGTCGAGAGGCTGTTAGTGTTACGTGGCGGCGTCTGGAAGTCTGACCGTTGGACAGGTGCGAGCTGGCGGGAAAATGCCAGCGAGCCACGTGGCAATTAATTAAGGCTAATTGGAAAGGGGATAAAACGCTAGGTGATTTGAACGGGGAGTTGGAGTTGTTGTGGGGCAGTTGTTGGCGAGAGGTGGAGAGATACGAAGAGGACAGCTGGCAATGTTAGGGAAGAATAGATAGAGAGCCGAACCCAAAGGACAGTAAATAGCGATAGGGAGAGTTAGCGTTAGCGGAGAGGTAGTTGCGGAGGAGATAGGTACAGGGAGAGTTACAGATAGAGTCACTCTGTGTGCGGAGATAGATAGAGTCACTGTGTGTGAATAGACAGGCAAGTCACTGTGTGTGCAGAGATAGATAGAGTCACTGTGTGTGAATAGACAGACAAGTGACTGTGTGTGCGGAGATAGATAGAGTCACTGTGTGTGAATAGACAGAACAGATCACTGTGTGTGCAGAGATAGAGGAAGTCACTGCGTGTGAAGAGATAGTGGAGACACTGTGTGTGAGGAGATAGAGGAAGAACCACTGTGTGTGGAAGAGAATGCGCGGACGGTGCTGAGGCGAATCGGTGTGTCGGAGTTGGCGGAGCGCGAAGAGGAGAGTCACTGTGTGTACGGAACGATGGAATAAAAGTGACGATGGAAGAAGACGGTCGTCGTCCGAGTGAATTCACGGCACTAAACAGGTAACAAGCTGAGATTAGGAGCACTCCCTTTAAGAGTGTGATCCTAATTTCAGCTCGTTATCTGTAAAAAAAGACACCTGGGAGCCAGAAATCTTTCTAATTGAGAGGGGGTCAAACACTTATTTCCCTCATTAAAATGCAAATCAATTTATAAGATTTTTGACATGCGTTTTTCTGGATTTTTTGTTGTTATTCTGTCTCTCACTGTTCAAATAAACCTACCATTAAAATTATTTACTGATCATTTCATTGTCAGTGGGCAAACGTACAAAATCAGCAGGGGATGAAATACTTTTTTCCCTCACTGTATTTAAGGGTTTTTTTTACATTCACAATTGAATGTTCAAGCAGTGCGAATTCATACTCTTTGGTTCTTTCGGTAAAGTCACGTAGGTAGAACAATTAAATAAAAAATAATATATAACGACATTTCGATCGCAACACAAGCAGTCGTCCTCAGGCAGAAAAAAATTATCCAGCAGTCGAACTGCTGAACCAGGAAGAACACAGCGAGAGAGCTGTTAGAACAAGAGGTTATATATGTTGGCAAAGAGCAAGCAGGCGGGGTCTGAGCTGGAAAGGAATTCCATCCCCGCACGCAAGGACGTCAGTTGTGTTCATGGGGGAGATTAGGGAGAGAGATTAGCATGAAATGAGCATCCGTCGCCGCTTAAGAGCATCGTCCCCGCATTTGCGCACAGCAGCAGTGTTAATGGGAGATTAGCACTATGTTGATGGAAGAGATTAGGCAGAGAGATTAGGGAGATTGGCAAGTGAATTTCATGTCTATGTGTAACACAAGCTGCGGCGCTGCCAACTTCGCTGTGAGAGGCAAGCGTCCACGCAAGAGAACCACCGCAACGGTGGTCACGCCAGTGGGACACACAGCCCATCACGCAGCCAGAACCATCGATACATCGAGGCTAAGGGAGCAGAGGTGGCCATGTTAGTGAGACCCCAGCTCGTTAATACAGAGGCACCCAACAGGGCAATGCAACTCAGAGATTTGAAGCTTTCCTGCAACTCAGAGAGTCGGAGAAAACAGCCAAACGGCAGGAAGGATGGAAGCACCACAGCAAGTTACGACTTTGCTTGGTTAATAACGTCCTTCCAATGATTGTTCAGCTTATATCCATTTTCTCGGTTGAAATTGTCTCTTTGTTTATATATCTGGATGGCTTCATGGACAAATCTTTGATGGTAGCCCGAAGGTTTGCAGAGTACCTTGGTCTCGGAAAAAACAATATCGTGCGAGCCCACTGTGTTAAAACAGTGATCAGCCACGGCAGAGGTGTTGGTTCTGCCGTGTTTCAGATCTGCCTTGTGTTCAAACACGGTCCGAGACATGTCGTTTCGTTTCCCCAATGTAACTGCTGTCGCAGACACAACATAGTTTGTAGACACCAGGGTATTGCATGTCAGGAATGACATCTTTCACAGATGGGATCAAATCACGGATTCCGTGTACTGTGTTGAATCGGACCTGGATCTTGTGTTTGTTTAATATTTTGGAAATATTTTTGGTAACAGCTGCTATGTATGGCAAGGTGATGGTTTTGATTGGGTCCTCAGATGGTTCTCTCCCCATAGTTGGGGATATAGCTTTGCGGATTCCTGCAGTCACGAAAGCTTCAAATCAATGTGAATTCATAGAATCTATATAAGCCAGTATTGTTATATACATTTGCTAGGCAGAGGCCCTACGCTGGTAACAGTGGCAGTAATCAATGCAAGACAAGTGGGTTTAACGTTCTTTATTTGGTGTCTGGATGCCAATCATTGAAAATGTATATTTTCAAAATAAAATGTTGAGTGGTTCTAGTACAGAACAAGTTCACCAGGTTAACTACAGGCCTCAACTGCAGTGGGAGATGTAGGAGACCAAATAATACGACAAAGTGTGTGACGATGTTTTAAATTTTATATTGAGAAAAATATCTGAAGGTTGTATTTGGAGGTCATGCCAAAGCCACTGCTAATTTCGTACAGCTTCATTAAAACGTTATTTAATGCTCATCTTGTTGGGTCTAATTTATGAAATTAATGTGTAAGGCAGCATCTGCTTGGTCATTATGGTTATCACGTTTGTCAGAAATCAGATAAGATTTTGGTATGATGCTTGCTTACCCAGGAAGGGCTCACCGAGTCTCAAGTCTCTTATTCAGGAGGGTCCTGCCAAGTTTTTTTTGCAATTGGGGGGCGATGCTGCTGCGTGTAATCACAATTCAGTAATATCCCAACATTGAAATGTGTTGGCCAATACCAGTTTCAATGCACTGCAGTCACGAAAGCTTCAAATCAAAAATTCCATCTACGAGAGAAAACCAGTGAACCCAGAGAAAACCCATGAAAATATGGGGGTGAACATACAAACTCCACGCAGAATCGAACACCGTTCCTTCTTGCTGCGAGGCGCAAGTGTTACCACTGCACTACCATACCACCAAAATATGCACAAGGATATATTACTATGAAGGCAGACATGTTATCTGTATATGTGCAGTGATGTCCTTCAGAAGATGAATGCACTTTCTGAGTTTGCTTGCCTCTGGCGAGATGACATAGTCGGCTGCGTCCATCACCATCCCTGTCACTTCTGTTGCACCTTTCACCTTGGCAGTGGAAGAGCTGACCACGCCATCGAACTCTTGATAACCATGTGTATAAATTACCCACCTGCATTGTGTGGTACCGGTGACACATAAGCAGTGATAAACACAACACTGACAGAATTGTAATAGCACTAAAGACAGCATCAAACCCTGCAACCATCCCGAACCATTCACAGTTTGCTGTCATACGGCATCCACTGATGACATTTACATTATAAAAAAAAACTCTTTGTAAAAATCAACAGATGGCAATGGATACATTTTTAAGTGAAACTACAAATATCCTCACTCTCGTCTGCCAATCTAAACATCTGTGACACCCCCCATAGTTCGTGAGATATAAATTCGTTGGGAGCTAAACTACGCCATGGTGTCGAGATGTTATCTCCCTCGCCTAGTATACAGGAGGTCGTGGGTTTGGTCCCGACCCTGACAACCTGCTGCATATTTAGAGTTTGTATATTTCTCTCCCCGTAGTTGTATGGGGTTTTCTCCGGGTCCTCCGGTTTTTCCCTCCACATTTAGAAACATGCATTTAGAGTATTTGGCTGCTAGAAATTTCCATATGATAAGCCACTTGGTTGAGCTATAATTTGTGGCCTGGTCGCTTCTGAAAAGAGCTACATAGCTCAGTGGGCCTTACCTGGTAAAAATAAAAAATAAAAGTTTATAGGTTAGTTTAACTGAAATTTGCAATATCTCTCCAAAGTTTTCAACATTTAGGACTGTATATAGGCATGTGGACTTCATAAAATCTGCAAATATCTCACAGAATTGAAGAGTCACATGACAAACACTGCTTAACGTGATAAACCGCGATGGTGCAAATTACTCGCCATCGTGACGTGTCTACAACATTTGCATGAGCGAGGACACGCTTGAGTACTTTTACGAATTGTCACACTTCTACCCATTTGTCTCAGCAGTGCACGGCAATACTTCATTACCGCCACACCGATGTGATCTTGGCCGTGCTGTTTTGCGAGCGGCTCGCATGCATTCTGGCTTCCTTAAAACGTTTTTGCCGACTTGGCACATTTGACAGCTCCACCATTCTAGATTTACCACCATTGACTTAAAGCTTTCGTGACTGCAGGAATTCATATTACTCATTGTTTTTTTCGGTAAAGTCACGTATGTAGAAATACAATAAAATTATATTAAAACAAAAAAAACAATCACGAAAGCTTTAATACTTTATTATCACAGGGATTCATATTCTTTATGGTTCAAAGACAATTACAAAAATAATGTTTGTTATTGTCTTTGAACCTATCTACGTTACTTTACCGAAAGATCCCATTGTTTTAAGCACAGAAAAATAACTTCATGACAGTCAACACCAACTTCAGTGTCTTTTTTTTAATTATCCCTTTCATGGGGCTCCTTCCACTACCTCAATAGTAACAGTCACTCTTGATTTGAAGCTTTCGTGACTGCAGGAATCCATACTCTTTGGTTCTTTCGGTAAAGTCGCGTAGGTAGAATTAAAATAAAACAAATCACGACGTTTCGATCGCTGATGACGACCGCTTGTGTTGCCGTCGAAACGTCGCGATTGATTTTATTGCTAACTGCGTGACTTTACCGAAGGAACCAAAGATTATTATTGTTTTTGATTTAAAGCTTTCGTGACTGCAGGGATTCATGTTCTTGTTTCTTTCGGTAAAGTCACCACGTAAAAGGGAAACAATAAAATAATAAAAAATATATAAAAAAATGTATAAAACAATAATAGTATATCTTCTTTGGTTCTTTCGGTAAAGTCACGCAGAATGAGAATAAAATAATAAATTGATAAAATAAAATAACACAATAATATTCTCACGACGTTTCGGCCACAACACAAGCGTCTCGTCCCTTCACAGTGTCTGTGTGCCGTCGGGAAGTAGAGCATGAGTTACGTGTGGTGAGTGTGATGAAGCACGCGGGTGAAGCTTCTGACCCTGTGTACGAGATAACCAACATGACGAATACGAGAAATGTGAGTATCGCTGCCTTTCGGCTTTTGATGCGCGCTTTCTTGGTGATGGTGTAGGTGCAAAAAACATCTTCCAGTGTTGAGCAGGGCATCCTGCACTCAAGATACAGGGGTTAAACACAGTGAGACGCTACAGATGACTATATTACTACTGCTGTATTTATAATATTGGCATTTATGTCACGTATTCAGTCTACAACTGTACTATATAAGCATCTCCCGATTCTGCATTGGAAATATATTTAAAGATGCAGACAACTATGTGATACATTTCCACGGTGGCCTAGGACACTAACAGTGAAACGTAAAATGAAATTGAGATAAAATTATATAAAATGTTAAATTCAAAACAAAGTATCCAGCTTGACGCATTCTATTTAACATAGACACAGTTTAATGTATGTAGACACGATTACATTCAAATCTCTATTGCTTGACAATACATCCTGATAAGATCTCACCTGATATTGTAGTATCGGAAGAGTAGATATCAGAAAAATATCTTCACATGTGTAATTTATAGAGACACACTGGACAAATACTAATTTGACAATTCTGCTCTTCCCTCGTGACACAGATGATGGGTTGACTGTTGTATGGTCATGAGCTCTGAGGTTTGGTTACAAAGGCATCCAGATAAATACCCACACCGCCTTACAAAACCGGTTATCGCACTGCCAGACATGAAGGCTGGAGAGATGGCAGGATGATTTCCAGTGGTTTTGAATGCTTTGTATTTGATGAGCTAAATGATAAAGCACATTTCTGAGGTTTCACCGATGTTTGTGCAAGACTCGTGCATTTGGTGTCTTTCTCAGTCACGGCCATAGTGCATTTACCAGTTGTGGAAAATGATACTTGGCTTAGAGAATAGAAGTTGTACCAATTTTCATCATCGTGAGAATAAGACACTTTAAAGTGAAGCTCACAAGGTGTCTCCGCAGCCCTCCCCTTCACCAGGCATCATCTGCCAAGTTTTCACATCCTGCCAGCCAGTGCTGCTGCTGTATGGATCCGAGACGTGAACGCTGCTGAAATAAGGTGGGAGAAGACCACAGGCTTTCTACGTGAGCTGCCAACGCCACATTCTCGAAGTCTGGTGGCAAGGCTTCTTCACAAACAAAGTCAATCTCGCAGTAGCAGCACACCGGAGTCCGGTGCCCTCAGGTTTAGCATCAAGGCGTGGAACGGGGTCGAGCCCTGCGCAGAGTGCAAGAGGCCCCCTTGCCCACCCTCGTTGGACCTGGGTGTAATAGCTGGTGGAGGACCACGGGGTCACCATCCAGATAACTCTGGCTATTGGTGGCCAACCATGCCTACCCGGTGAGCCTGTGGCCCCGTGCTAGCTCAGGAGAATGATGATGGCGATGATGCAATGTTTAATTCAGAGAAATTTTTAAAAAAATTGCATTGAGTGTGGTATGGCCAATACCACTTGTATGGTTTATCAGCTATGAGAGGAAACTGGAGAGCCCGGAAAAAACACAGAACTCGAACGTCCGTGTGACGAGTCGAAGTGCAGCGAGAATCCGACCCAGCAGCTCCGTACGAGTCGAACCGTGAGTACCCGAGAGTGAGATATTGAGGCCATTGGGAGATTGTCTTAGGAGAGTTATTTGAAAGAGGCGATACAGATCGGGTCTTAGACCATCGAGAGATAGGTTAGACCTGCCCTGCTGACTCAAACTGACTCGGGTAATTTAGCCTCGGACTCGCTGAGAATAAACTGCTGGGGATCAATAAACCTTGCCGTGTGGTTTCTGCGAGGGTGGAACGGAGGCATGTTGGTGTGCTTCGTTGTACCCCTGTGTTTGTGCGTGAGTGTGTATTTACCCACGTGTTTGCGCTCGCCCATGCGTGCAGCTCGTGGTTAGCGTGTGCGTGTGGTGAGCAGCGGCGGACTCGTACAGGGGCACGTGAGATTACTCATACGCCCTTTCGTTTAGCGTGTGCGTGAGGCTAACGGGCGGCGTGCACGCGAGATTATTCGTGCGGCCTTTTGTTTAGCGTGTGCGTGGGGTGAACGGGCGGCGTACCAGTGAGATTATTCATACAGCCCTTTAAATAAATCTCCGAGACGACTCCCCCTAATCGGCTGCGCGTGTGCGAGTGACGACCCTGCCCTCTAAACCCCCGACCCCGAGTCCCGCGCGCGCGATTGGTGCGTGGCACGGGAGAGGAGCGACGTCGGATTTCGAGTGCGTGGGTGTGAGTGAGTGTGCGCAGAGATCGTGTGGATTGATCCCAGGTGGCGAAGCGCCAGCCACGAGTCATGCCCCGAGGGGCCGCAGCGGAGGGGGTGGGGGAGTCGGCGAGCAGTAACCCCCCCCCCCAGGACACGGAAGAGGGGAGCAGTGGATCCCACCTGAGCGAGGAGACGGGAGTCAGCCTCCTCGACACATTGAAAGAGATTCTGAAGTTCATGAACAAGGATGTGAAGAGTGATAGTGCAAAACCTCCAATAGAATCATCATTTATGATATAACTAGGATCATCATAATAGTGAACCTTGTGAAAATGTTGTTCTTGAAGCAAAATCTCATTCGCACAAAGAGGGTAGATCAAGCGAAGAACAGGCTAATGTCCCTTTGTGAGCAGATTTGTGGTGGAAAAAATCACAGAGACTCCAAATCTAACATCAGATGGTGACTTTACTCGTAGGCCTGCCAGTGATCCTGCACTCTATAAGTCACTGCAGAGATCCTATTTTGCTGATATAAAGGGCCTTCCATAAATGACGTCACGCGATTTTTGACGATTTTTGACCCCCCCCCCCATCACACGGCGTCACAAAAAGTCAGACCCCCCTCAAAAATGACGTCACAAAGCTCTGCCCTCCCCCCAAATAAAACATGCTTCAAATCGCTTTAAACTATTGTCATTGTAGTGCGTATTTAATGTGGCGTGGCACTCTGATGTTGTAGGAGAAAACACTTCGTAAAAAGTCTAATTAAGTAGAATGTGTTGTCTATATTTGTAATCAACTTCAAACTGGCTTTGATGATTGTAAGAATGCAAACACCAGGATTACTATATTATTTGGTTCTTTCGCTAAAGTCACGTAGGTATACAATAAAATAAATCACGACGTTTCGATCGCAACACAAGCAGTCGTCCTCAAGCGGAAAAAAATATAATCCAGGAGTGGAACCGCTGAACCAGCGAGAGAGCAGTTCTGTTCTTTCACCTGACCAAGGCTACTTGTGTTGTGGCCGAAACGTCGTGAGAATTTTATTGTATTCTTTTATTTTATTATTTTATTCTCATTCTACGTGACTTTACCGAAAGAACCAAGAATATGAATCCTTGCAGTCACGAAAGCTTTAAATCGAAATTTAAGGTTGTAACCGTTGTTACAACCTAGTTGTAACAACAGATACAACCTAGTTGTAACAACCTAGTTGTAACAAGGTTGTAACTGTTGTTACAACCTATTTACAACTAGGTTGTAACTAGGTTGCAACAACAGTTACAACCTAGTTACAACTAGGTTGTAACAATAGTTGCAACCTTGTAACAACAGTTACAACCTAGTTGTAACAAGGTTGCAACAACAGTTACAACCTAGTTACAACTAGGTTGTTACAACAGTTACAACCTAGTTGTAACAAGGTTGTAACTGTTGTTACAACCTAGTTACAACAAGGTTGTAACTGGGTTGTATCTGTTGTTACAACCTAGTCGTAACAACAGATACAACCTAGTTGTAACAACCTAGTTGTAACTAGGTTGTAACTGTTGTTGCAACCTAGTTACAACCTTGTTGCAACAACAGTTACAACCTAGTTACAACTAGGTTGTAACAATAGTTGCAACCTAGTTGTAACTAGGTTGTAACTGTTGTTGCAACCTAGTTACAACCTTGTTGCAACAACAGTTACAACCTAGTTACAACTAGGTTGTAACAATAGTTGCAACCTTGTAACAACAGTTACAACCTAGTTAAAACTAGGTTGTAACAATAGTTACAACCTTGTAACAACAGATACAACCTAGTTGTAACAAGGTTGCAACAACAGTTACAACCTAGTTAAAACTAGGTTGTAACAATAGTTACAACTAGGTTGTTACAACAGTTACAACCTAGTTGTAACAAGGTTGCAACAACAGTTACAACCTAGTTACAACTAGGTTGTTACAACAGTTACAACCTAGTTACAACCTAGTTACAACAAGGTTGTTACAACAGTTACAACCTAGTTACAACCTAGTTACAACTAGGTTGTTACAACAGTTACAACCTAGTTGTAACAAGGTTGCAACAACAGTTACAACCTAGTTACAACTAGGTTGTTACAACAGTTACAACCTAGTTACAACTAGGTTGTTACAACAGTTACAACCTAGTTACAACAAGGTTGTTACAACAGTTACAACCTAGTTAAAACTAGGTTGCAACAACAGTTACAACCTAGTTGTAACTGTTGTTACAACAGTTACAACCTAGTTGTAACTGTTGTAACTAGGTGAAGATGACCGTTTGAGTTATGGTCGAAACGTCGTGAGAATTTTTTATTGTTTTATATATATTTTATTATTTTGTTGTTTCTCTTCAACGTGACTTTACCGAAAAAACTAAGATTATGAATTACTGCAGTCACGAAAGCTTTAAATCAAAATTTTAAGGTTGTAACTGTTGTAACAACCTAGTTGTAACTAGGTTGTAACTGTTGTAACAACCTAGTTGTAACTAGGTTGTAACTGTTGTAACAACCTAGTTGTAACTAGGTTGTATCTGTTGTTACAACCTAGTTGTTACAACCTTGTTACAACTAGGTTGTAACTGTTGTTACAACCTAGTTGTAACAAGGTTGTAACAACCTTGTTACAACCTTGTTACAACTAGGTTGTAACTGTTGTTACAACCTAGTTGTAACAACAGTTACAACAAGGTTGTAACTGTTGTTACAACAAGTCTGTAACTGTTGTTACAACCTTGTTGTAACTGTTTCAGCAGTTCCACTGCTGGATTATATTTTTTCCACCTGTGGACGACCGCTTGTGTTGCGATCGAAACGTCGTGATTTATTTTATTTTCCACCTGCGTGACTTTAGCGAAAGAACCAAAGAGTATGGATTCCTGCAGTCACTAAAGCTTCAAATTACCAGGATTACTGCTAATGAATAGTCAATGGATCACATGAAAGCACTGTCCATGATGCTGGAGCACCAAAAATGGGCCAAAATTGATACAGAATTGCAAAAATTGAAAGAAAATCTTGTAAATACCGGGTTGATGCATTAAGGAGGGTTGTTGCAGTAGTAAAGTTCCTTGCAGAGAGAGGATTGGCATTTGGTGGTGATACTGAGGTGCACAATTGTCGAAACAATGGAAACTACTTGGGTTGCATTGTCCTCTTAGCAGAATTTGACCCATTTCTTGTAAATTACATTTAGATGCATGGAAATCCAGTCTAGGGAAATGTAGTTTGCCTTTCATCAACCATTTGTGTATTGATTTATTGGCATCCGAGGTTATGAAAACCATATTATCTGAAATTAAGATAGCTAAGTATTCGGGAATGATAATTGATTATTCTCCTGACGTCAGTTATACTGATCATGTGACAGTAATATTCTGCTATGTCACCATTGACGGAAATGTTGAAAGATTTCTTCAATTCAGCTCAATTCAACAGCATGATGGGAAGTATTTATTTGAGGTTCCACAAAGTCTTCTCAAATCTCATGGAATCAATATGGCAGACTGCAGGTCACAGTCAAATGACAATTCGAGTAACATTAGTGGCATATACTCAGGTGTGCAAGCAAGATTTCGTGAAGTGAACGTTTAGGCCAAATGGGTCCCCTGTGCAGTCCATAGTCTAAATTTGGTTATATTATCTGCTGCTAAGTGTTGCACTGAAGCAGTAATTTTTTTTTATCGCATTTTACAATGTTAATTTGAATATTTCTCTTTCACCACAAACATGAGCAAAATTAAAGAATCTGATGAATAAAAATGCCCATGTCAGAAACAAGGTGGTCAGGCACGAACTAATTCCACTGGAGCCCTGTATGAGAATTATTCAAAAATTCGGAAAACCTGAATTGACAATTCTGAAAGTGATGCAACACCACCTGCAGATGTCCATGAATCAAAGTCACTGGCAAGGAATGTTGACCAATTTGATACAGCAAAATTCACACGGCCACGCGCCATGAGATCACTATTTGGAATGAATGGAACTATGAATAAATTGAACTATGAACTATGTTCTGAAAAAGACAAACGTTGTAAACAAAAGTGTGCAGGAGGCAGGGATTGACTTGTGCACCATTGCGAAGTTGTTTGATGCACTTTTGCAAGATGTGACAGGTTTGAGGAATTCAAAACAATGGTCAGAGGTCTCATAACATCTCGCTATAAAGAGAGGTGTGCACGAAAGAGGAAACAATTTGCTGATGAAAATGGCACATGATTTTTATGTCAGGATAACGCAAGTGACAGATTCTGTATGCGATACTTCTATCGCATCATGAATCAACTTTTTGTGGAGATGGAAAAACGGCGAAATGCATATGCCAGACTGAATGATCAATTCAGTTTCCTTGTAGACATCACTATCCGAAGTAGAAACTGTTGTGCAGGCCACTGTATTGGTTGCTGCATATCCAGCAGATCTTTAAAAACCATTCACTGATGAATTCCTGTTCCTGCATTTGTATGCAGAGAAAATCAGTGGCAGGTAAGTTCAAAGCCCAAATATCTGACAAGCTGATTAGTAGCTTTACAAATGTTTACATTGCTC